TAACCGCGTCGGTGTTTGGAATCGAACGGTAGGAGAATTGATTTAACTTAATACACCGTATGGTTTGTGATGTTTAGAAACTGACGTTTCACAAAGAGGAGGCGTTTCGTCAATTATCCGACGATAAATTTTATCTTGAAGTAGACAAAGACCTCACACCGCAAACTCAACCATTGGTCAAAGATACCATGATGATAAGCTTATTAGCGGTAGGAGGAAAGCTACCGTCAGAGATAAATGATTTAATGGTATCTAGGCCGCCCCATTGTTTCTGCCTGTAATTGTCCCACTGAACTTATATCCAGTTATCTTGATTCCCTTATGCTTCCTTTAGTACAGACTCTTCCTAACTACATCAAAGACACCAACCATGCCCTTAGAATCTTCAACGATTTTAGTTTTCTAAGTATTTGTTTACTTTGGATGTCAAATCTCTTCATACAGTCATTCCTAATAACGAAGGACTTYTTGCTCTCGAACATYTYTTTGATCGCCGTACTGTTTTAGAACCYAGCACTGCTACTTTACTACGCTTAGCTGATCTCGTTCTTAAASTCAATTGTTTTTCTTTTGATGGCCGCTATTTTCAACAAGTCAATGGCGTAGCTATGAGCACTAAATTGGGTCCTAGTTACACTAATTTATTTGTGGGTTTCATTGAAGAGCAAATTTTTCARCAGTACACTGGTCCCAAGCCTGAACTTTTTTGTCGTTACATCGACGATTGCATTGGTGCTACATCTTGTAGTAAATCTGATCTTGAGGCTTTTATCTCTTATGTTAACTCTTTTCACCCTTCACTTGAATTCAYCTCGGAAATTAGTGAAACCTCCATATCCTTTCTGGATATCTCTATCAGTATCACAGCTAACCATCTCAGTGCCAGCGTGCATTACAAACCTACCGATTCTCATTCCTATTTATAGTACTCTTCATCGCATTCTAAGCACACGCCCAATTCTATCCCCTTTTCACAGTTTCTGCGTTTACGTCGCATTTGTAGTGACGACATTGATTTYTCTAACAAATGCCGTGAAATGCGTTCTTTTTTTATTGATCGTAAGTRCCCGGCATCTATCGTTGATCGTGCTTTGCAGAAGGCATCTTCTATTTACTCAAATCAGATTCCACGACTTCTAATATTTTCAGTGAACGCCCCCTTTTCTCCTTCAAAAGAGATCGTAACCTTCGTGCTTTCCTTGTTAAAGGAACTCTTCCCTCTGATAAAGAACCTGGCACCTTTCGTTGTTCTCGTAAACGTTGCAACRCTTGTCCTTTCATCGCTCTTCGCACTTCTGTCACAGGTCYCACATCTACTTTTACCATCACTTACCATTTTGATTGTACCACATCTAACGTTATTTATTGCATTCAATGTTATAACTTTAATCAGTTATACATCGGTGAAACTGGACGCCGTTTAGGTGACCGCATAAGGGATCATCTCTATAATATTCGGACTAATGATCCTTCCAAACCAGTTTCCCGCCATTGTTATTCTCCCGATCATTCTATCTCTGACAGCGAGGTCGGAAATTAATTTTGCCGAATTTAATTCCAAGGGCTTTCGCCCGGAATAACCTCGTTCCCAAGCACTATAACTTATCTATATTTCTATATCTTCATGTATCTATGACTTTGTTGTTTTTGGCTTATCTTTAATTACCAGCGGCAACCATTGTCGCAAAACTAAAGAAATGAGGCTTATTCACACCTTAGGTACGCACAACCCTCTTGGCATGAACGAGCGCTTCGCCTTTAATTAATCTATCATTACTTTTAATCCTCTTGTTTTCTTTCGTTTTTCCGCTTACTTATCTCTCATTGGTTATTCACCTTCCACGTTCCCTATATATACACATCTCCACCTCCATCACTTTACATTTACTCCGACGAATGACTAACGTCCGAAACGTCAGTTTCTAAACATCACAAACCATACGGTGTATTAAGTTAAATCAATTTTCCTACGGGTTTATATTGCCGGCGTTGGAAGAAAATTTATTCGCCACTACAGCCAATACGGAATAAATTTTCTCCCAACTAGCCGCCAATACAAACTCGTATTGTCGGCTTAAAATCACCATACGTTGTAAGCATTGTACTTTAAAATGACATTTATCCAGTGTCTAGTAGTATCAGCCAGTACTTACTTTATAGTGAACACTTATTTTACCAAAAGAACCACTGCAACCCCAACTGTTATGGATATTATAAGCGGATTATGATCATTAAAGTGCACTAAATCCTTTGAATCTAAAATAAAGAAAAAAAGAGAAAATGCATTATTGGATGGATTTACATTTCTCGTAGCCAAAAGACAAGTAAAAGGATTAACAATGCAAAGAAATCCAAATAAAAGCCACTCAACCAGCAACCCAGCGACCCAGCGACCCACCGACCCACCAACCCACCAACCCAGCAATCAATCCATTAATCAATTACTCAATTAATTACAGGTTTACATCTTACTGGTTTAAGTCTTTCATATCATTACTTAAGTTGAAGGCTGTGTTCTAAAACTTTAAAATGTAGTGATAGTGATTTTGGAGAGTGTCATCGACAGGACACCTGTGTTTCGAAAATAATTATTACTTATCATGTTATTTTTATATTTTGTAAGTGTAAATGGTGCCTTAGATGACTTGGCTGTGATCCTTTCACGAAATCACTCCAAAGAAGAGCGTGATCTTAGCAGCCATTGCCTCGAGGATACGAAGCTGTAAAACAAGTTATTTTGAATTTTGAATTTAAATATACTTTGAATGTGACAAAAGGGTCCTGAAGGGGTAAAATGGGAGCTGGGATTCGCGCCTTTTTTGGGATGGGAAAATGGGATTTTATGCACTGGGAATGTGATTACCAAACAAAATACCCTATGATAATGACACTCGCAAAAGGATGCATGTTTTAGACATHATAAAGSAAAAAAATAATAAACTGGTTGAAARCCATTTGTCCTCTTACCTTTGAAGCTGGGTAAAAAAGATTACATGTTATTCGTTATACGAAATACAACACGACAAGCTTTATTTCAATACCTGTGTAAATGGAAAGCGGCATTCTTCGCGCGACTTCTTTCTGTTAAAAAGAGAAAAAAATAGTGTCTCAGGAAAAAGTACACAAAGACATAAAGATAAGGAGAAGAAAAAAGAAGAAAAGAAAAGAAAAGAAAAAAAAGAAAAAAAAAGAAAGAAAGAAAAGAAAAGCTAGGTAACATTGCATATTTGAATAACGAATCTAACTATATAGTTTATTTGGTCGTTTGTCCTCACGTTTTTCCTTGAGCATGCATTTGTTTGTTTTTCGCTACTCGCTATCTATCACAGGATAGATAGTGAGTACGTTAGCCAATTCGGATAGGATTCGTGATAGTDTATGCTAGTAGGTTTATGCTAAAGTACAATATACGATACTCTTGCACAAGGGAGGAAGTCTTAGCAGCCATCTTGCAAATAAAACACACTTTCACCGTCTTTTAAGGTTTGTTTTTAAGACTTTAACRCTCTTTTGGCTTTTCCTTTCCGATTTCTCCGAACAAAATTTGTGTCCTGAATTTGTTTCGCTTTCTGTAGATTTTCTATTCTCTACTTTCACATCCCCATAATACTTGACTTTCCTCCCCTGTAAGAGTATGTTTACATATCCACGACATTGGATACCATAGGGGAATYATATAGGAAAGCAAAGGCGCGTGCACAAAAAAATGATGTAGTGCATTTCTATAGAATCTTTCGTTCGTTTGCAGTATGATGACCTTGGATACCAAAAATAATAAGATCGATTTTTTCGCTTTTTTTTTTTTTCTTTTTTCACCTTTCATTTTAATCTTAATTGGGTTCCGTGTGATGTTAAATTTATAGATGCACATTCCGCGTTTTATTTTAATTCAGGCAGTCTAAAGGTCATATTGGAAGTTTGAACATGGGAAGAAAAATTAGGGGAGTGAGGCCAATATTAAATGCGGTAATCACCCCTATGGTTCTTTTTCATTGTACTTACATTTCGTTGAAATGTACCAGCCACTGTGAAATTAGGAAGACACGTACCACCAGAAAAGGACCATCAGCCTATGCATTCAGGCTATATTGTTAAAGTGATGTGTGTGCTTATTGATTATTGTTACAATATAACTTATGAGTAATGTTATATTACTTATGTATAACTTATGTTACTTTGAGTAACGAAACGGCAATAATAATAATAATTATGCATCTTCTCATTAATCCCATATAGGTAACTGCCCAATTGTTTTCTTAATCATATCCTTTTTATAATCACTACCAAGTCCTCAATCTGATTGGTTCAAAGGAGTGCGATTAATTCCCATATCGGATCCTAAGGAGCTCTTAATCGCATCTTTTTGGAAGAACCAATAACAGAATAGATTTCTTATATTCAGCCAATCAGAGAAGAGAATGTTTAGCATTATTAATGATATTTAATGTGTCTTTTTCTTGTGTATGATTACAAAAAAGGACATGATTAATTAAGTGGTAACTGAACTTCGTGTCGTGCAAATTTGGACCAAAATCATACTTGTGATTAACAAATTGCGCTCTCGCTACGCGGACGTGCAATTTTGTAATCACTCGTATGATTTTGGTCCAAATTGCACTCCACTCAGTTCAATTACCATCATTAATTGGACAGGTCTTGCTGACATGGCATTAAATAGGCAGCTATATAATTAATAAGTAATGGGATTTCAAGCTCTCCAATCAAGAAATAATTAGACTCGAAAAATTCCTCGGCCTACTGCCTCATCTAATTGAAGTCATCGGAATTTTCCTCGTCCAATTATTTCTTAATTGGACAGCATGGAGTCCTATTACTACCACTCCCACTACTACTACTACTACTACTACTACCACCACCACTCCCACCACCACTACCACCAAATTTTTTTAATAAAATATATAACAGTAGCTTTAATGATGCCATATCTGTTGATAGATTGTAATTTATGCTTACGTAATTAACGCTATAGCTCCCAGTATGCATTGCGCTACGATGTTGCCTCGTGCTAGTAGTTTTACAAGATGTCGGAATAAACACGATGTTGTTGTTTTACTCCGTTTCTTTTCSTCTTTAAATGCTACTAAACATACCCAAATCAACATCATCGTAGGATCCTAGCCAAAGAATGTGATCAAAATCTATTTATAATATAGATAACGATGAAATACCTGGTTTTCTCTAGTGTTGAGAACTTGATATCTTTCACCAGTGGAAGATACCATATCTTTCACATGTGAAGATATCGCTGTTGACATAGTAACGTATTTT